TCTACCAAATACTGTAGGTAGTTGTAACAAAATGGTAAATATTTGTGTGTCTAAACATATCCAAACACAGAAAAATCACAGTAAAAATATGGTATTGTATAATCTTATGGCACCACCATTATATATCTGGTCAGTTGTTGAACAGAATGTCAGTAGTGCAATGTGTGGCTGTTTTTTTTGTTTTTTTGTTTTTTGTTTTTTTGAGACGGGGTCTCCCTGTGTTACCCAGACTGGAGTGCAGTAGTGTAATCACGGCCTACCACAGCCTCATCCTCCCAGGCTTAAGTAATCTTCCACCTCAGCCTTCTGAGTTGCTGGGACCACAGGTGTGCACTGTCCTGTGTGGCTAATTTTTAAGCTTTTTATAGAGACAAGGTCTGTATACCTGTGTTGCCTGGGCTGGCCTCAAACTTCTGGGGTCAAGTGATTCTTCTGCCTTAGCCTCCCAGTAGTAGAGACTACAGGCATCCACAACTGTGCCTGGCTTTATTTTTTGCAGTTGATTTCTTTTGGTGTTCTAAAAGTTCTGTACCAGAGGAAGGATTGGATTTTTAAAAAATGTTTTGGGTTTTTAAAAAAATCTTTATTTGTGTGTGTATGATATTAAGAATTTAGCAGAAAAATTAATTTCCAGCCAAGTGCAATGACCCACACCTGTAATCCCAGCACTTTGGGAGGCTGAGGCGGGCAGATCACTTGAGGTCATGAGTTCAAGACCAGCCTGGCCAATGTGGTGAAACCCCATCTCTACTAATAATACAAAAATTAGCCTGGTATAGTGGCAGGCGCTTGTAATCCCAGCTACTCTGGAGGCCAAGGCAGGAGAATCACTTGAGCCCAGGAGGCAGAGGTTGCAGTGAGCCAAGATCATGCCACTGCACTCCAGCCAGGGCAACAGGTGAGACTCTGTCTCAAAAAAAAAAAAAAAGGAAAAATTCCAAAATATTTTTAGTTTAAGTTTTCCTTGAAGGAATATTCTTGATATATATTTTAAGAATGAATTTTTAAATGTAAATATAAAACAACAACATACTTTTTTTTTTTTTTTTCTTGAATTGGACTCTCACTGTTAGCCAGGCTGGAGTGCAGGGGTGCGATCTTGGCTCACTGCAACCTCCGCCTCCTGGGTTCAAGCAATTCTCCTGCCTCAACCTCCCAAGTAGCTGGGATTACAGGTGCACACTACCATGCCTGGCTAATTTTTGTATTTTTAGTAGAGATGGGGTTTCACCATGTCGGCCAGGCTGGTCTCGAACTCATGACCTCATGTGAGCCACCGCACCCAGCCGGTTGTTTTTTGTTTTTTGGTTTTTTTTTTCTATGTGGTATTTGCATGTAGAGTTAAATACTTTTTCACATAAAATTCAAAAGTCATTTAACTTAAACAGTGAATAAGTTGGTTGTACACTCAGCTGTGATCAAAGTTGTCATGAATTTGTTTTCAACCTTGAAGACATCCATTAGCCTTTTTGTTTTTCCTGTTAAAGTCATACATGTTCTCTATTTTATTTCAGTGCCTTAGGACTGAATGTCAAAGGTTTTATGTGAAAAATCTTGATTAGTTTTACAGAAATAAAGGTATGGCCATGGTTAGAAAAGAGTAGTATATTTCAGGATTTGATAGGGATATTAAATTGGGTTTATAATTCCAGTTTCACACTAGGAGTTAACCTGTGAAGATGGAATCTTTGAGTTCATATTCACTACCGGCTATGAAAACATAACTTTCAGCAGTATAATAGTGTAATTCTCACTTGTGTTTTAAAAAGTAATAGCATATGGTAGGCATAAGTAATTGGTCAAGTCAGTACAGAATAATCTATAAGGAAAACATTCTGGAATTCATTGCATAGAGAAAACTTTTGGCCTCTGGGTTCTTAGCTGAAGCCGAAGAGGCTTTAAACTTTTTTTGAAGTTGAGGTGGTGATACCTCTGACGGATATAGAACTGCTCAGTACCAGGATTCAGAAGACTGGTTCTTCAACAGATTACTTGGAACTTTCTTCATTTGGATTTGTCTGTAAGGTGTAAGGGGTTGAACTTGATCATCTCTGAGGGTCCCTTTCAGCTCTCTGGTTTTATTGATACCTGGCAGAGGGAGAGATCCTGTATCCATCATATGTTAATCTTTTATTTACTTTCAGGAAATTAAAGTTCCAACATTTAACAGAGCCTGGCCTCTTTTTAAAAAGATGAATTTATGCTTTAACAGCAGGTAATAATTTGATAAACAGCTTTGTTCTTACTTGCTCTTCTTCCTCTTAAATCTCAAGAATTATCGGCAGATAGGCTGTTGGTTGATGATGGTGCTGGTTGACCAGCACTGAAGATGTTGGGAAGCATTGTTAAGGTTACCTAGGTGACTCTGGGGCAAAACAACTAGTGTGACTTAGTTTCATTTGAATGACTTAACACTCCATGACATACAGTAGGTGTTTAATAGCAGAAGGTGGGCAGGTGCCAACTACTAACCTTGTTTATAATACTATTGTTTGCTCTTTAAAGTGAGAGCAACAGTATCATCCTATTCTCTTGTATCTGTCCTTGCTGTTTGGGTCCAGGTGAAATGGTATTGAGATGATTGAAGTAGAGAAATTTCTAAGATGAATTTTGAAAAAGACTGGCCTTTTATTCTTTAATGTGCTGAAATTCTCGGTGTGTTGCAGTGTACCCAAGAAAGCTCTTTTAAACTATGTCTCCAACTTTTGTGCCCAGTGAATGAGGATATCAGGTTGGGGGACAGGCATTCATATTTTGACAAAGCTTCCCAGGTGATTGAGATGTTTACCCTTAATTGAAAACATTTCACTTTTGAAAATATTGTGCCAAAAATTAAGACTCATATTGACAGTGATTTTTATGGTGAAGCCTCTCCCGATATATTAGATTTTACTACAGATATTTTTATTCTTTTGAGTAAATGTTTATAGTAATAATCATGTTTAACATGTACTGAGCACTTGCTATACGATTGGCACTGTATTGAGTAGTTTACATGGGTTTTTATTTGATCTTCACAACTACTGTGTGAGTTCTTTATCCTCATTTGATTGATTGAAGCACAGGGAAGTATGTATGCAGACACTCGTATATGCAAGATTATATACAACTTGTTAGTGTTAGAGTCAAGAATTGAACTTGGGCAGAGACAGTTTGGCACAAGAGCTCTGTGCTTAAAGCTGTTAATGCTAGAGCAGCCTGCTATTTCCTTATAAATTTATAAACAGTCTCAATGACAACAAAAATGATTTCTTTCATTCTAAACTCCGGATCCCCCAGTCCTTTCTCAAAGGCAGTCATTATTAACAAAGTATGTTTCATGTATCTTTCCATGAATTTTTAACATGTGGTCAGTATACAGAAATTTATATACAAGTCTTTGTATACATACACACACATGAGAGTTTCATATCTTTCCATATCAGTACGTGTAAGTTTAACCTTTTCTTCTCTCTCTGCCTGCCTCTCTTCTAATGTTTAATTGTATTTATTTTTTCTTTCTGAAACTGACTATCCTTAAATTAGTAATTTGAACTTTCTAATTAAAGTTTATTACATTAATTTGGACATATGTGATATGTCTTTTTCTACTGAATTGTATCAACAATGTAACCCAAAAGAAAACCTACTTTCTTACTACAGTACAAGGAATCTCTAAAACAAAATCCAGTACAGTAATAGATTTAATTATGATTAATTTGCATTCTCTTTGGCACCAGTTTCTATAATGTCATATGTTCATTCTCTTTCCCAGTAAATAGAAGTAACGAAAGAACTCCACTTCAAATTTGACTGCAGGCTTACAAAACATAGTGAAAGATTTTATTTGCACATGTTGTAATTCTATGATTGTAATGTTGGCTTGTTTTATCAGTTAAACTAATTTTCTGAGTGTCGGTATTTTATCTGTACAATAATTTCTTATAGAAAGTTCAATTTGGTTAAGAACTGTTTTGAGTTAAATTGTTAAACTTATAAAAATACTTTCCCAATTTCTTGTTGCTGACAGCTCTGTTGAGGTAGGTAACGTACTGGTTTTAAAGAAGAGTAAATTAAATGTAGAGATAATTTTATCCAAGGTCATGGCCAGCAGAGCTGCTGTTGAAAATCCAAAATATCTGGGACCATTGCTCAGTTTACTCTATTGAGCTCATTAAGATAGTACAGTTTTACAATTTTGTTTTGTTTTGTTTTGTTTTGAGATGAAGTCTCACTCTGTCACCCAGGCTGGAATCCAGTGGCATGATCTGGGCTCACTGCAACCCCTGCCTCCCAGGTTCAAGCGATTCTGCTGCCTCAGCCTCCCGAGTTGCTGGGTTTACAAGTGTGTGCCACCACACCTGGCTAATTTTTGTATTTTTAGTACAGACGGGGTTTTACCATATTGGCCAGGCTGGTGTCGAACTGCTGACCTCAGGTGATCCACCCACCTCAGCCTCCCAAAATGCTGGGATTACAGGTGTGAGCCCACTCCACCCGGCCACAGTTTTGTTTGTATTTATTTTTTCATTTGTTATTCACAACGATACTGTGAAGAAGACATGACATGTTAATTCTGTGTCTGAGGAATCCTAGGCTTAGAGGCTGTGATTTGTACAAAGGCAAACTTCTTTAACACCTGTTCTGTCACAGGACTTGAGCCATCATCTTTTGACTTTAGGTGTAGTGCCTGTTTCTGCACAGTACTAGAATGTGGAAACGAAGACATTTCTACCTGTGCTGTGTTTTCTTTGAATTGAGAATTGTCTGGCTATTCCGTGAAATCTAAGTTAATTTTATATGCTGAGTCCTGGACCACATGCCTTGAATATGTTATACCCTGACATTTTGTAACACATTCATCAGTCAGAGTTCACAGTTCAATGAGACATTGCAGCATGGGTGAAGGCTGTAAAATCAGATAGTTCGCAGAAAATTCCCACATCACTGTAAGTTCCCCTCATTTCTTGCCCATACTGTATTTTGTACATCTGATAAATTTTGTTTATTTTTTCTTTTAGTGAATGGTAGTGTCTAGAAAGGGTATGTCCCTTCAAGAGAGAGGTGCCAATGTCCAACCGGCCTAATAACAATCCAGGGGGGTCACTGCGACGTTCACAGAGGAACACTGCCGGGGCCCAACCACAAGACGACTCAATAGGAGGAAGGTATGTATTTCATGGTAATTTGAAATGGAATTGGGAATACAAGAAAAAATATTTTTAAGCCTCGTTGTGAGGTCCAAAACTTGAATGGTTCATTGCATATGGGTAATTTTTCCTGATTTGTGAGCCGAGTACTTAAAAGCAAACTGGAATCCAAAGCAGTTCCTAAATTTTTCCCCAGATGTGCTAGACTCAAAGAAGTAGTTCATAGCCACTGACGTGTTCAGACACCAAATTTAACATATGGTGTGTCATGTTTTGTTTGCCCTTTCTCTTCACTTCCTTAAACGTATATTACAACACATCTTTCACCATTCGTGGTCCTTTTCCTTATGTGTTGACTTAATGATACTTTATTGAAAAGAAGCCTCACTTGTTTTAAGAACTTGAGTTTTTGATACTCAGCTTTTGAGCTTTTGTCCTCATCATGCCTTTTGGCAACATAGATATTAACAGGGTAGTGAGGCACTCTGACTTTGTTAGTGAACAAGTTGTCATGTTTTTAGTGGTCTGGTGTTTCTTTTTAGTTGGAGTAGTTACGTAAGAAGTAGTGTAAAGAATCAGATCAGATGCATTTTCTTGAATGTAATACTCCGTCTGATTTAGCCAAGGTCTGTCATTCCATGTAAAAAATACTCAGAACTCCTCTTGCAAGGCCTAGTTCTCTAATTTTGGGACTAACATTGATTATGTTTAGCTTAATTGATTATGTTTAGCTAAAAAAATTTAATGGTTAAATTTTTTTGTTTTGAGAGTCTCATCACTCTGTTACCCAGGCTGGAGTGCAGTGGCACTATTTCAGCTCACCGCGACCTCTGCTTCTGAGGCTTAAAAATCCTCCCACTTCAGCCTCCCAAGTAGCTGGGACTACAGGTGTGCACCACTGCACCTGGCTAATGTTTTTATTTTTAGTAGATACAGGGTTTCACCATGTTGGCCAGGCTGGTCTCGATCTCCTGACCTTGTGATCCGCCCGCCTCGGCCTCCCAAAGTGCTGGGATTACAGGCGTGAGCCACCGCGCCCGGCCTAAAAAATTTTTAATGTCAAGTGTAAAGAATAAATCAAAGCACATCATGCTGATGTCAGACTATTTAAGTGGATAAGCATAGGGACTTTGGACTAGGGCAGCTTTCTTCGTGTGTGATTTCGTTTTTTCTTTTCTTTTTATTTTTGAGACAGAGGTTCTGTAGCCCAGGCTGGAGTGCAGTGGCATGATCTTGGCTCACTGCAACCTCTGCCTCCTCAATCTTCCCGCCTCGGCCTCCCAAAGTGCTGGGATTACAGGCGTGAGCCACCGCGCCCGGCCTAAAAAATTTTTAATGTCAAGTGTAAAGAATAAATCAAAGCACATCATGCTGATGTCAGACTATTTAAGTGGATAAGCATAGGGACTTTGGACTAGGGCAGCTTTCTTCGTGTGTGATTTCGTTTTTTCTTTTCTTTTTATTTTTGAGACAGAGGTTCTGTAGCCCAGGCTGGAGTGCAGTGGCATGATCTTGGCTCACTGCAACTTCCGCCTCCCGGGTTCAAGCGAATTCTCCTGCCTCAGCCTCCCAAGTAGCTGGGATTTCAGGCACGCACCATCACACCCTGATAATTTCTGTATTTTTAGTAGAGATGGTGTTTCACCATGTTGGTCAGGCTGATCTCGAACTCCTGACCTCAAGTGATCCGCCAGCCTTGGCCTCTCAGAGTGCTGCGATTATAGGTATGAGCCACCACGCCCAGCCTTTGTGTGTGATTTCTGCCTCTGCTGTTAAATAGCTATGTGTCTTTTGTTAAGAGTTTCAGGAAACCTCAGTGTCTTAGTCCACAGAGTGGGGATAGCTGTTTGATAGGATTATTGGTAAACTTCAGTATTTTAGCATGTTAAGCTCTTACCACTTATACTTAGTATATAGAGCTCTGTTCTGAAAATTTTTGCTCTTTTACATTCAGGTTTTTCTTTGGAGCAGCCACACTCAGCTTTATGTGGCTTATTTTATTTTATTTTATTTATTTTTTTTGAGATGGTGTTTCACTCTTGTTGCCCAGGCTGGAGTGCAGTGACGCAATCTCAGCTCACCACAACCTCCGCCTCCCAGGTTCAAGCAATTCTCCTGCCTCAGCCTCCCGAGTAGCTGGTATTACAGGCATGCACCACCCACGCCTGGCTACTTTTGTATTTTTAGTAGAGACGGGGTTTCTCAGTGTTGAGGCTGGTCTCGAACTCCAGACCTCAGGTGATCTGCCTGCCTCGGCCTCCCAAAGTGCTGGGATTATAGGCGTGAGCCACTGCACCCGGCCTATGTGGCTGATTTAAAAATATTATTCCTCCTGTAATAAAGCGTTACATGTTCATTTTAGATTATTTTGAATATATAGAAAACTAAAAAGAAAACATAATTACACACTTATAAGGTGTGCTGTTGACATTGGATACTATTGACATTTCTTCTGTCTTTTAAAAACTGCATGTAGATGTACATATATGTATGTATGTGCATATAAGTAACTTGTACCTTTTGAACAACTGAGGTTTTATGCACGTTAATTCTCAGGTTGCATTGGGACTCTGGCATGTGAACTGACAATCATTTTGGGCTATCAACAGCGCATTGCTTCTAAAATCCACAGTGTTTCAGCATGGTCATTTTTTCTATATATCAGTGTTACAAATTTATTTTTTGAGACGGAGTTACTCAGGCTGGAGTGCAGTGCTGTGATCTCAGCTCACTACAACCTCTGCCCTCCGGGTTCAAGTGATTCTCCTGCCTCAGCCTCCCCATAGTAGCTGGGATTACAGGCGCCTGACACTGCGACTGGCTAATTTTTGTAGTTTTAGTAGAGACAAGGTTTCACCATCTTAGCAGGCTAGTCTTGAACTCCTGATCCAGTTGGCTTGGCCTCCCAAAGTGCAGGTGTGAGCCACCGCACCCGGCCTAAGAAATTTTAAAAATTGTATTATGTTTTTATTTTATTTTTAGGGACAGAGTCTGACTCCATTGTCCTGGCTCTAGTGCAGTGATGCAGACATAGCTCACTGCATCGCAAGTAGTTGAGACTACAGGCGCCTGCTAGTATGCCCAGCTGTGTATTTAGGTTGGTGCAAAAGTAATTGCGGTTTTTGCAATTTTTTTTTTTTTTTAAATGGCAAAAATCACAATTACTTTTGCACCAACATAGTATGTATTTTAAAAAATGAGTAAGACTGAGCATGGTGGCTCATGACTGTAATCTCAGTACTTGAGGAGGCCGAGGTGGGAAGATCACTTGTGGCCAGGAGTTCGAGACCAGCCTGGGCAACATAGCAATACACATCATGTGTCGTCAAAAGACACATGTAGAAATGTTCTGTTTCTACAAAAAAATAAATTAGCTGGACACACTGGAACACACTGATATTTCTACCTACATAGGAGGCTGGTGTGGGGAGATTGCTTGAGCCTAGGAGTTCAGGGTTTCGGTGAACTATGACTGGGCAGGCCACTGCATTCCAGCCTGGGCGACAGAGCAATATCCTGTCTCAAAAAATAAATAAATAATAAAGTAGTGGGACATAAATGGAAGTGGTTAATACTAGCGATTAAGATGTGTTGGTTTAAGTAGCTCAAAGTTGTAACAGAGATGGAACTCGATTAGATTTGTAGAATGACAAATCTTGTTGTAGTTCATGTAGTTTAAGCCAGTCAGTAATATGCTCAATTGTGAAGGGTGTGATCAGGACATAGAAATTTAGAGCTTTAGCCAAAACATCTGATTAGTTTTAAGAATGCAAATGAGATGAGAAGATGCTGGCTCTTTTAAATATCACTTTGCCTGCTTAGCTTGATTCTTTTGCTCATAACAAAATCTCAAGACTGGGAGGAACTTTGAAGGCCTTCTTTTCAACCCCCAGGTTGATATTTTTTGTTGTTGTTGAGATGGAGTTTTGCTCTTGTCACACAGGCTGGAGTGCAGTGGCGTGATCTCGGCGCACTGCAACCTCTGCCCCACGGGTTCTAGCGTTTCTCCTGCCTCAGCCTCCTGAATGGCTGGGATTATAGGCATGGGCCACCACACCTGGCTAATTTTTGTATTTTTAGTAAAGATGAGGTTTCACCATGTTGGCCAGGCTGGTCTTGAACTCCTGACCAGGAGTTCAAGTCAGTGAATCTTTTCATTATGCCATACTGTTTCACTGCAGACCACTGGATCCCTATGATGAGGGACTTAGAAGAGGGTATAAACTTTAGTTTAGAATTTAAGTAGCAGTTTTCCCTCCTAGGATTTGTGCTAGGATTCATTTTTGACCCACTGTTTTCTTCTAAACCTCTGCATTAAGCTGTCTTCTTTGTGTAACCTCCTTCCAGTGACCTCTTGTGCCTTTCTTCCAAATCAAGATAGCTTCTTTTAAAAAATAGTTTAAATTCATTCTTAAATGAAAGTAGAGTCTGAGGATATATTTAATCTCTCCTAATTTTACCTCTGCTCTCCTTTTCACCCATCCTTCATCACTATCCACAGTCGAACTAGACATCTTATTCTTCTTCTATTGTTTTTCTTTCCCCCTTTCCTCTCTAATTTTTTTTTATTGTAGCTGACCTGTTCCTCTCTTTCCTGTTCTCTTTTTCTTCTATAGGAAATCACTCCCTTCCACTGCTTCTCTGTTGGGTTGCTTTCAGGGATACTACCTAGCCTTTTCCAGTTGTAGTACAGGTATTTGTAGGCTACCACCTCCCTCTTGGCAGTGCAGTAGCGTTTTTATTATACTATGTGCTTTTTCTTGTTTTTCTCAAGTGGCAGTGGTAGGATTGAATTTAATTTTATAGCAACTTTAAGATCGCTTTAGTGGTAGTTGTGTTCAATGTTGATTTTATTATATAAACAGTGCATATTGAGAATACAAATTGGGATGCTTCAGGAAAATTAAAGAAAATAATTTTAATCCTACCACTCAGAGATAACCATGGTTAATATTTCTGTTCTATGTTCTTAGAGTCTTTTCTATATGTGTAGCTTCTTTTTGTTTTTTCAAAATTCCACATTCAGAGATCAATATATGTATACTTGCAACATACAAATAATAGGGAT